TTTTCTAAAAACTTGGCGACCAATAGGTTTGTGAATCAGATGAATAGTTCCGTTATCATCCAACTGTCTACCGTACATGAGCTTTAGGCATTGATATAAAAAGTTGATTGATCATTATTATTAGGTGCCTAATTAAATTTATATACAGACTAGCTAGTACCAGTAAAAAATAAATAATTCTTCGCACAAGCTTTTTAAGGATCATTTAGAAAAATTAGTTACAGCGTTTTTATTACCTTTAATAAAGAGTATTTATTGTGAGTTTGAAAACGCTACTACCAAAAATAACGAAGTTTTATATACAACCCCCATTTTGCTTACAAATAACCTTGCCATTTTCGCCAAAAGTTGTGTGGACAACTTTTGGCGAAAATGGCACGTGGGTGACGAAGGTGGAATTTCATAAATTTCAGAAAAACAATTATTTTGAGTAATATATTAGTACACTTCAATTATTCTTTGATGTAAAGAATAAGTGAAGTGTACTAATATGTAATTGAAATTGACTTTAATACATAAAATCAGGAAAACAGGATATTTTTGGTGACAAGGCGGGGCAAGTTATTCCGTTTCGTCGTCACTAGTTTTAAAGGCATTTTGTAATGAGACCATGAAATTTAAGGGCGTCTTTATTTTTTATTATAAAGTAGCTTAAAAACAAAAAAAAATATATCTTACTAATTACATATCCACATGGAAAAGTTAAGTTAATATAGTTAAGTTAGTTATAGTTTTGTGTCCGACCGCACGGTTGGCGTAGTGGTTTGTGCGGTCGCCACGCCGTTTCCTACTACGCTGAGTGTTGTGGGTTCAATCCCCACATAGGACACCATTTTGTGTGATCCACAAATTGTTGTTCTGAGTCCTGTTGTTCTTTGTATCCGTTTCATGTATGTTTGTAAAAGTCCCCCGCGACACAAGATATATGTATATTCCTAATGCGTGAGTTGTCTTTTATGTAAATATAAAGAATAGTCACTATTTCGGCAATCTAGTATCATTTAGACTTGCAACGAATAGTATATTCGGCAGCATACCGAATACCGAATATTCGGCGAGGCCCCTGACCGAATAGCCGAATATTAGGCAAAAGTATTCGGCTGGATTTTAGCGCCAAAAACTTGTACAGACGTGAATTAAATTATGTACCTGTTTTATGTACCAATGCCTACTTAATAAATGATTATAAAAGAAATGCGAACCTTACCCTTCTAAATTTTGATTACCACAATAATTCAAATACATAGAATCCTCCATTTTTCCAATTCAGAAGATGATTATGTACCTGTGTTATGCACCAATGACTACTTAAATGATTATAACAGAAATGAAAATATGAATATATATACGTAATCAATCGATTTTAATTTTTCATTTTACCAATTATTTCTCAATGTCAAAATATATTATTTAAGTATTCGGTATTCGGCCGAATAATATGTAGATATTCGGTATTCGGCCGAATATAATAAAAGCAGCCGAATAGGCCGAATACCGAATAGTAACCGAATATTCGTTGCAAGTCTAGTATCATTACTTTTCTACAGTTAATTAATCTTTTACTAATATAAATTTTAAACAATTTACCCGCCTCGTAGCAATACGATTGGCCTGTAGGCCGCGTCCGAATCGGCAGGCCGTAGTTCTCTAGTACCCATAACACAAGCTCTGAGCTCTTAGTTTGGGACTAGATGGCGTTGTGTGAATGTGGTATAGATTTTTTTTACACACAACGCCATCTGTTTTACATTAAGCAGAGCTTGAACTATGAAATCTAGATTGACTGATAGAATACTTATATACTTTTTTTTTTGTAAATACATAGATATATAAAAATCATACAAACATTTGGTCCGACCCGGGAATCGGACCCGAGACCTCAGCACAGCAGTCGCATACACTACCATTGCACCACCGACGCAGTCGATTATTGTTAATCGTGTTACTTTCGCATAGAATAGAATAAATTAAGCAACGAGCATTAAATTTCAAGAAATTGCATTTGCTAATAACTTATAATGAAATTGTTCATCATCACACAAATATTGACATATTTTTCTTTAAAAACCCTTTCTTTTCTTTCAGGGCACAGCAAATTTTAAATACTCAATAAGGGCAACGTATATAAACTTTACTACAACAAATATTAGAGAATATAATTGTTTACGTTCTCTAATATTCACAGAGGTCAAAATCACTATTCTACAGATAATATCACAAGTAAGGCATGAAACGACAGATAAAGTTATTACTCAGATTTAAGCTCTATTCTTCAGATCATAGCTATCTGATCATTGAAAAATTCAAAATTACGTCAACTGTGGAATAAATGCTATCTAAATGCCTGAGGATTGAAAAACCGATCCTTAGTCTCTTCTTCTAAAGTTACCCAGCTTAACCTCACTGAAAAGCGGTGCCAAGCAATTCTTTTGTTCATCCACCTCCGATTAAGGGGGCGGAGGGTTTGGACTCAAAGGGCGAGCACTTGTAACCCTTGAGTTTCAGGTGCCCACGGGCGGCGGTAGTTACTTACCATCAGGCGACCTTTACCATTGACAAGACGACATTAAATGTAATTATTATAATTTATACAAAGATGTCTTGCGACGACATAGTTCACTACATATTAATGAAATTAAGTACCGTTAGAAGTATATTTTTATTATAAGACAGATCAAATAAAAAGTTAAGATGGAACTTTGTGAAGAACAAAGTGACGCCGGTTTAAAAAGATGCTTGCGTGGGCCGGTGCTGCCGTAATAATTATATTTCATTGAAAATATTGGTTTCTACGCTTACTTATGTGTGAAATGCGATTCCATCCTACCATCTATCTCTTGTCGTTTGATTTTTAAACCCTTTCACGACACAATTCGGCATTTTTACTTGTAGTAATATTGTTGATATTTTTGATGACGTTTTGACTGACAAGGTGTAGTTTCTTTGTACGCGTGTGTATGTAATTGAGTAGGTACACGCCAAGGCGTAGTTTTAATTGGCCTTTTTTATGTTAGAGGAGGCAGACGAGTAGACGGGTCACCTGATGGAAAGTGACTATCGCCCCGCGAGCGAAAATATCCCCACTCAATATCAATCAATATCAATATCAATATATCTAATCCTCGTGTCACGGTGTGCGTGGTTAAACTCCTCCGAAACGGCTCCACCGATTTTCGTGAAATTTTTCGTGCATAGCAGGTAGGTCTGAGAATCGGCCAACATCTATTTTTCGTACCCCTAATATTTTTTTTGAAATAATGTATATGGCAAAACAACGTTTGCCGGGTCAGCTAGTATATATATATATATAGGCGGTCAACTGACAGAATTTTCCATAATATTAGGCGCATGAGATTTTTAATGTAATATTTCTACTGATACGAGTAGTATCCTTGCCGTAGAAATATTATATTCAAAATCTTTAGAAGTATATTTTTTGAGATCTTTAGTGGAGATCTATTATATAAGTTTGATTTCATATTTAGTCATTCCTTCACAGCAGGCAGGCTCCACTCCTCTGTGTGGCCTGGGTCGCACCCAGTGCCCGCGCTCGATATATTTGTAGAAATGTAGCTTAGACTATTTTAATATCTTAACTTGTTTTAAGTACTCATATATTATGAAATTCCATCGGATACCTATACTTAAAATATACCCTTTTCTTCTGTTCGGAAATCCCCACTGATTGGCATCCACCACCGGTGGGTTGGTTATGTCGGACTCGAACCGACTAAAAATTGGTCGCCGTCTCGGGTTCCAGTAGCCGGGTAACCAGGTGTACCCCAGAAGGGAAATCCCTGTTACCCCGACTTACTTCGGGCCATCTTCGGCTTGTAGATGACCCCCTAATGTGTGGGAACCCCCATTACCCTTTCTGACCCCGAAAGGGCGCTCGCGCTCCACAGCGCGTCTCGACGCCATCCAGGCCTGCTTCTGCTAAGGTGAAAGACATAAAATATACCCTGTTCGTATACGACTACGTTTTTCACTTTTTTATTCTCTGCACACTATCAGCCTATCGCTGTCCACTGCTGAACGAAGGCCTCCCTCAAGGAGCGCCAACTATCCCGGTCTTGGGCAGTGCGCATCCATCCGCTGCTAGCCACTTTCTTCAAGTCGTCAGAATAAACGTCGAATCATAATTTCAAAGAAATCCTTATCTTTTTAACTTAACTTAAGAGGTGTCGATGGTAAAGAAAACTTCATAATAAATAAAAACAATTTATTGCTTCCTTTATCATACCCAGATTATCTTAAAACAGAAATAATACTCAATTATACTTATTTGTAACAAACAAAATTATCCTGGCCGCCCGTGGCAACTTAGCCAGACTTTTTTCTAATAAAAACAAACCTTTTTATGGTTATTTAAAATAATAATACATTCAACGAATAAAATGAACCTCATCGCTAGCACCCTTGCGAATTAGTCAGTTTATTCATAACGTCATCGTAAAATTAAAAAAAAATGTGTGTTTGAAATGTAAAGGAAGTCGGCTTAGTCGATTTTCGATTCGATTAAAATAAAAAAAATACAATTACAATGCTCAATGGTTTTATAGTTTTATCACTCAACGAACACTTTATGGTAGGTACATTTAAGAATTTATCAGAAGAATATTATGCTTAGTTGAATATTTTATTATGGTAAAATTTATGGCAAGTTACAGCATAGTAAAAATTGTTTCAATAGATCAAATTATCATATTTTTGGCATATATGTATGAATCTAGGAATTGAATAGCTAAAATGTCTACTACATCCCACTACGATAGTAAAAAAAAACTCACTATAATCATAATAAACATGTGTTACTTAAAAAAATAAGTAACTTTACGACTAGTGGATCTTAAAACTAATGAAATCAAAACTTTGGTCGTTGTGCCATTTTTTTATCATTTAAGGACTTTTACAATTTTTTTTTTATTTTTTATTTTTTCTTATCATGTAACCTTAACAATAGCCGTCGCATTTTATATTGTCGGTGTCAGTTGATTACGTCAAGCACATGTTGTGGATTCTAAAACACGACCTGTGAAAAAAATAGGAATATGTTTTTTTTTAATAGCTTGAGACACACACTCACCACACGTGACGGATTAAGAATACGGAGTGTTACCACCCCTATTCATTCCGATGGGTGTCGTAAGAGCCGACTGAAGAAGCAAACTACGCAAACAGAACTAGCACTGCAAATAGAAGCAAAACTTGAAACAAATCCTATACCAAGTGATCTGGCCAGCGTGGTTTAGTAGGCCAAAGCCACCTCTCTAGGGCGATGCATACACCTCTGCCTGTAGCAGTCCACTGGTGCTCCAACAGTGAAGTGTTATAGGCATCATCGATGATGATGATGACTCACGGAGCAGGTGCTATGGTAAGGAGACTGCTGATTAACACACTCATATGTCAGTAAATACATACATATTGCAGATATTGATATGGAATATATGGTTGTATAATTGGATTCTGTATTACCTTCCAATCTGTAGTAATTTTAAAAAAATATTTAATTTCTGTCATATGTCTAGACAATGCAATACTTTTTGGATCTTTAATTAGTTAAATATAGTATTAGTATACACAATTCGAGTATTAGTTTTATAGCTCTTTATTATAGATAGGTATATAATTATTTCATTTGACTACACTAGAATATCTCATTCTAGTGTGGTTAAATTAAATAATTCAGAGCAAATTCATTGAGGCCGATACAGTACGCCACTGTATCGAACCCAATTAGATAAAATAAGTTACTTTCATTTTAGAAAAACTTGAAAAATCCCCAGGGCTTACCTATTGTTCCGGCTAATTAGTTTTTTTAGTATCTTTAGACTCTTCTTTAGGCTGTCCCTTGCCGAGTAGCTTAGCGAGTGAGTCCCAGATGCCGCCCATAAATAGCGCACAGAACAAGTTCTCGAACGGCACGAAGGGATCGTGGATGCCCAGCAGAATTGATGAAAGCTGAAAAATAAACATCAATATTTTAGGAACGCAAACAGAAGCTCTGATTACAAAGTATCGTGGCCTTAATGTTAGCCTTTAATATACCAACAATACTATGGACAGTCAAATGGAGGGGCTCGTGGCTAAGAGGTAACCGAGTAGTTTAACGCATTGCAAAGTTTTTTTTTTTTTTTTCTTATAATACAACGCCCGCATTAGGAATAAATCCTGTGTCGCGGGGGACTTTACAAACATACATGAAACGGACACAAAGAACACCCAGACTCAGAACAACAATTTGTGGATCACACAAAGTGTCGTCCCATGTGGGGTTTGAACCCACAACACTCGGCGTAGTAGGAAGCGGCGTGGCGACTGCTTAAACCACTACGCCATCCGTGCAGCCAATTAATCCTATCGTAGTCAGTCTATGGATGAGAGATCATTTTTATCACATTGAGACCTTCCATGCCTCGGAACAGCACGTTGAGCCGTCGTTTTAGATTACCAGAGTTCCAATCCCCCATTCCTGGCATTCAAAGGGTCGCACCGCACTTTTCTTGTGTCTTTAGGGTTGCAGTCCATTGGCCGTTGGCGCGGTAGTCACTTACTATAGGGCGACCTGGCTGCTTGTTTGACTCTTATACCTAAACTAGATAAAAATACATACCTTGAAGTAAACGAAGAATATGACAATTCCAAAGTAGACTAGGGCATGCGGCGCCGAAATGAGGTCGGTCTTCTTGTCTAGAACGAAGATAACAGACGCAACGAGAGATGCCTTCGTATAGCTGGAATAGCAAAGGATAATTATATTAATTACTTGCGACTGCTTCGATCTTAAAGTTACCTAAATTAAGAGTGTTTCATGTGTGTGAGTTCCATATGACATATCTATACCAAATATATAATCTAATCTCTAAACCAGGACAAATAGGATGAACCATGTAGGTAGGTATGTGTTGAATTTCAACTTGGTTTCGCGTAAGTAATTGAAAACAAACATCTAAACACAGTACCAACTTTCTCATGTGTTATGTATTAGGTAGTGAAACTAAAAGCCTGTATAAAGATGATAGTTACCAATAAGTAGTTATATTGAATTGAACGAAGTTAGGAACTTCAATGTTAAATACTACTGTAATAGCTATTGCTGCAAAAGTTCATACGTCGTACGCCTTTTTAAATAATTCGCTTAAATTGTTACGGTCCTGTGCCATCAGGGACAGTGGACATGGACCCCCAGCTGTTCCTATTCAAATGTGATGAATTATTACATTACTTATAACAACAGATTGTGATTTTACTACCTAAATGTTTTATCTGTTTATTCGAATTGAAGAGGTTGTTACCTCTTGAACTGTCATCAAATAGGGTAAATCGGTTTTTTATTGGCTACATTAAACGTACGTACGTATTACGTAATTAAGAAAACTATTAATCGTAAAAAGTAATGAACAGTTAGTCAGTTATATCATCTGAAGATATTAAAATGGTAATTACTAAAACGTATATGTATTTCAACTAGTGCAGTATGTAACAAGGTCATTTGCTAATTAAAATGCAAGATAAGTAGGTAATTTACATTTGTAAATGTTTCAGATAAAAAAATTAGTCATCAGAGTTTCAGTGCATACAATTGAAGATTAGACGATGAATGTAGTAATAATTACGATATACGATGAAATAGTATAAACTATAATACATTACCCATTTAACTAGAAATATACACAAGAATATGGGTAAATTTGGTTCTTCGGAGTTGGTCTCCACAATAAAACCCCTTTTTTGGATCAGGCAACTAGCCTCATAACTTACAGAGTCTAGCGACTACGAAATAAAAAAGATTGAAAACTAAAACACGACTACGCAAAAATAGCGCTCAGTAAAGTACGATCCAAAAATATTCTTTTCTGACATACCTATCCGTAACATACATACATAATGCCATGGTTTATGAACCGATCTGAAACATTCTTTTTTATTTGAGAAGGTATACTTCTGGTTTGATTCCATCAAATTTTAAGAAAAAGTACCACCCCAATTAAAATTCACCATGATTCAGGGGCATTCAAGTCATACTTTTGTTTTTCATTGAATTATTTAAAAATAATAATAGGAGACACTCACAAGCTTGGCTGCATGGTTTCCATGGCGGTTGGTGTCCAGGCCCCACGGATGAGTCGCTCCAACAACTTGCTGAAACCGGCTCCATTACCCTTCAGGGTGCCTGTAAAAGTATTTAGTTATGTATATTTGAAAAAAAAATTGATAAGAACTGGTTCGCAATCCTTAGAGATGACCATATCATTTTGATCACATTAATATTAAGTTTCATTCATTATCAATCGCAATCTCTACCTAAGTAACTGGTACTAAAGGTTTTAGCTAAAGCGCTTTCCCTCCCCTAAATCCATATTTTTTTGTGGTAGGGTAATCGAGCAGACGGGTCACCTGATGGTAAGTGACTACCGCCGCCCATTGACACCTGCACTCGGACAAGTGCTTTGCCGCTTTTTGAGTCAGGGTGAGAGGAGGGGGGGAAATTGGGCTCCGGTACACTAATAAATCCTACAAGGATTTATTATTATTTGACATTAAATAAATAGAAAAAGGTTTAATATCAACTCCTCGATGGTTTCTAGCATTATAACGGTGCCAATCATTACTTACCTACAATAATCATTATGACGTAGGCATTAGGGTACAGTTTGGCAGCGTGGCTCACGCCGTCGTACACTTTTTTGGCGCGGTATATCTCTTTCATTGCAGATGCTACAACTTTTACTGGTAGAAACTTTGCCACTTTATAGCCGACATCGAAAGGTGTGTAGAATACCAAGTACCTGTAAAAAAAAACAATAGATTCGACAAAATCTTCAAGAAGCAGTCACAGGGCTTCATGATCAAATGTAGTGAAGTACTATTGGCATCTAAGTTCAAACTGTGGGAAAGGAAAAGGGATTTGCTTACATTAATAATATTTTTGAACATCTGACACACAACGCCATCTACTTTCAAACTAAGCAGATTGACTGATAGAATACTAATATACTTTTTTTTGTAAATCCATACATATTATACATAAAAAACACTCCGAAACAAATATTTGATACGACCGGGGAATCAGTCACATATGCTTCTTCTGCACCACCGAGGCAGTTATTGGATGGATTGGTAAATAAAAACCATTTTACGGTAATTACAAGTCACTTTGACTGTTATGACACTCCACCAGTGTACATTTTTATATACAAGATCATCATCATCATCGTCAGAAGCCCCAATTCGGACATAGGCCTCTCCTTAGAAATGAGGGTTTGGTCCACTTTCCACGCTGGCTAAACGGGTTGATATAGGGTTTATTTTAAGTTTTTCTTCTCTTACACAAACTTTATTTTAATGCAGTCCAGTTAGCTTTAACAGGGCGAGGTTACCTTCTTTTTTTTTTTTTTTTGTTGACGGAGTGGAAAATCCCTTAGGATCTCCGGCTCCTTGGGGACATAGGAGCCAGGAGTATGTGGTGATTCCACTAAAAACCACTCCGACGGCCAGCCTTAGGCCCTACTCTGGGGAGAACCCGGGCCATGTGATTTCAGGTCCCCCAGATCGACGCCGCACCTAGCTAGGTCCCATCTCAGGGAAAGCCAGTGGCTTCTCCCTGCCTCTCAGCCTATCCAGATGTTGCAGCCCGATCACGTTTTCAGTGCGATCAGGCTGCCATCCTTTCCCCTACCGCAGCAATTAATCTGCCACCAGACGTCCCCACTCTCTGGCGGCCCGCGGTCCCGTCGGCTGCTCATTACGTCGTCGACGTCTTCTTCGCTCGGGATCGGCCCTCTCCCGATCCCGTTCAGCGGTCTCTTTCTGGAGCATTACAGCTTCACAGAAAGAGACCATTGCGCCCCAGCCCTCCTCACCCGCCAGCATGGCAGTAATGATTGCTGGCGGGGACAAGTCTCGTCCGATTTCATCGACCAGGACTTCGCGTTCAGATGCCAGACGCGGGGCAGTCTTCCAGCGTGTGCTGGGCGGAGTCCAGGCCGAGGTTACCTAGGTATGTATTTTGCATACAACTTGAATTCATTTTTCTACTTCTTAGTGCATTTCTGCAAAATGCAATGCAAAATAGGAACAAGGGTATCCTCTCCATAATAGTTACAATATTTGAACTTATGTCGTCATATTTTATCTTATAAGTATTTTTGATTTCCATTTACACATCATTCTATAAAACTCAGCTTAGTTAAGCAACTTGAGAATCAAAAGCCTTCACCACTTTCTGCAGTCTAGTCGTATAATAGTGAGTTGCATGAATATATCATTCGATTTCAAAATAAAAAGCCATGAAGTATGATTCCGGCAATTACAAATTGCACCGGTAAGTGCACTTATTTATGTAGGTACCTATTTAAGTTACATTTGCTTCTTAATATGGCGATAATGATGCTGTAACTATAAAATAATAAGTAAATATAGGTAATTTAGAGATATTTGAAGTAAGCTATTGATTGAAGGTTTCTAAAGTCATGATTAACTCACAGCTACTTAAGTGAAAGCAATTAGTATGTGTTTTATTGACTATTTGTTACGGTTTGTTCTCCATAAGGAAGTTTTATGAAATGATAGAATTTCGATAATACAACAGTTGAGAACCAAACCAGTAATAATGATCTACGCGTATAACATTTACAAACATTGTACATAATAAATATTTTATTCTACGCACTAATGTAGTGTTCTAAATTGCACCCACATTAAAAAAAAACTATTTTAAATATTTTTCTTTCTATTCCGCAATTGACCGACTCCAATATATATATATTTAATAAAGGACAGTAAGGCCAAGCATGGCAGGTGAAGAGTGTCAAGGTACAGAAGGTACACTGAATCACAAGGTACAAGTCTTCGGCATTGTAAGGCATAACTAAGGATACCTCGGGCTACCTCGGCAGTCTTCAGCAGCCTAGCAAACCTAAGGATGCCGACGCAACCCTAGGCTAGTTTCGACAGCGTTCGGGACATCGAGTCAAAACTTGGAATCGTCCGCATCCCGTATTTGCTTAAAGACACCGTCACGTTTGTGGTTGTATAGTTTTGTAGTGTATAGTTTGAGAACTCCTCGGTATTCCCAAGCACACCTCGCCATGCCCAACGACTCCTTAGCAATAATTGCCTAAGAAGAGAGAGATTTTCAGGCTATTTTAAGATTTCTTTCTTACTCTTTCGGTTTCTTTTACCAATATCTATTTCGGGTTTTTTTTTAAGACAACTTCCGCACTAGGAATATAATACTGTATCGCGGGGGACTTACAAACACACATGAAACGGACACAAAGAACACCCAGATTCAGAACAACAATTTGTGGATCACTTAAAATCGTATCCCATGTGGGGATCGGACCCACAACACTGAGCTCAGTAGGAAGCGGCGAGGTAACCGCTTAAACCACTAACGCCATCTGGGCAGTCAATGTCTGGTCTATGGTTATGGACTCATCGTTGCCTTAGTTATGTGCCTCCGTTCATTACTCATCAAAACAGTAAATAATTCAACGAAGTACCTTTTAACTTAAGATACAATGTAAAAGGTACATTATTGTCTGTTTGCGACACAAACTTGTGCAGTGTTAAACTTTCTAATCAATAGTTATTACCTAACTGATGTATTTTGCGGACCGTTGTTAACGAAACCGCATTGTCACCATTTCACAATTGAGGACAAATTATCTTAATAGGTCAATCACCTTACGAACAAAACCATAGATACATGAAATAGGCGCTACATTTAGGTAAGAAGGATAAGAAGATGCAATAATAAACGTAAAGTAACGAGTAGATAGTTTCATAAATGTTTACATCTTGAATGTAATAAATACAAGTATAAAGCGACTGGCTTAAAATAATAGATTTTCCAAATTAACCAACCGTTAATTCAAGATCTACAATTCATACGACAAAGATGAATGTTTGTTGATGTTCTGTTATACACTAAGTTTCCAAGTAATAGGATATCATTTTGATATTTATAGTTTTACTAGCTGACCCGCGCAACTTCGTCTGCGTCTCTCAATAGTAATAAATTTTCTCCGTTTTTGAAACATTCTTCATTGGTGCTCCGCTCCTATTGGTCTTAGCGTGATGATATATAGCCTATAGCCTTCCTCGATGAATGGGCTATCTAACACTGAAAGAATTTTTTAAATCGGACCAGTAGTTCCTGAGATTAGCGCGTTCAAACAAACAAACAAACAAACAAACAAACAAACTCTTTAGCTTTATAATATTAGTATAGATTAGATAATATTGGCCTCGGTTAGAACACAGTTACAGATACGCAACCCTGACCAGCTCGAGCTATTGATTATATTTCTCAATCCATTCTTATAGGCAATGTTCTTTTCCTTCCATTACTTTCTATACTTATCTACCTTGCCTGCGAAATACTATCAATTTTTCGATCTAATTCCTAGAGTCCGGTTGAGATGAGGTTAGGTATGTGTGGACTAAATTGAACGTTGGCAATATGTGTTACGCCTGAGCCTTCAGTCTACCCCTTCAGTGACATAAGTGCATGTTATGTTATAAACAGTAATATTACTTAACTGTTTTCGGTGTGAAGGTGTCGGTTAACTACTTACCAACAAATAGTTCCTATGACAAGCTGCGGTGTGTTTTTAAGTGGCGCCAGGATCGGTTCTCCCAGCAGTCCGTTGGCCACCATGCCGCCCGCGAAGATCACCAGCATAGTGGACAGCCAACATGACAGTGGATGTTTGCGGGAGAACGACTGGGCACCTGTCAACAATAAGTACAATAGGTACCTATTTATATGCACATCTATACTGATATTATTATATAAACCTGAAGATTTTGTTTGTTTGGTTGAACGCGCTAATCTTAAGAACTACTACTGGTTTAAACTGAAAAAATATTTTAGTGTTGGATAGCCCATTTGTCAAGGAAGGCTATAGGCTATATAACATCACGTTATCAGTATCACCAATAGGGGCCGAGCATCAATATATAGTTATATTATGTATATTGAAAACTTAAACGTACACGATTGTTGAGACTGTAGGTTACATATTATAATCAAATCCTAACGTTATCTAAGCTATTATTTAATTTCATGCTCAACTAGCTTATAGTTCAGCAGAAGGTTTGTTTTTTTTATCCATGAAATATAGATGCATATTATCCATTTCTGTTTCCCAGATAACCTGTACCTATGCAAAATATACTAATGGTCGGTTGAGTAATTAACTATTAAGATGTGTAAGCGAGCGTAACAAACGAAACTAACACACTCTCTTTCCTATCTCTAATATCAGTTAACAGTTGATCATTAAAAAGAAAATAATTCGAATATAACTATATTCTAAGAAGTTTGAGAATCCCGGGATGTCCCGGGACTTTGGTCGTGGGCAAACTTTTGTATATTTTGAAAAATTTAAATCAACTTGAACCTATGACGCGGGACTTGAAAAGTCCCCGTGCTTTGAATCTCGAAATCAAACGGGTATCCTCGAAATCCACACTTGAGTAAAACCCAAGCCGTGAGTTTAAAAAATCTTTAATCAATAAATCCTTCTTGAAAAAAGTTGAACGGACTAACAATACTAAAAAAGAGCACTAAAACTCTGGCAGTAATCGCGGTTGATTTGCTGTCATTTTTTAAGAGTTCCGTTGTCTGTTTTCGAAACTCATCATCAGATCTATATGAAATATAAATGGGACCATTTCGGAATAAACCCCTTAAGAACAAAAAAAGAATTTTGAAAATCCGACTTTTAATGACGGAGTTATGCCCGACACATATACAAAAATATAAACATCCGAATTGATAACCTCCTCCTTTTTGAAGTCCGTTAAAAACATTTAACACTTCATAATATTATAATTCAATGTCTTTGATAAATATTAACACCATTGACGAAAGCTTTTATTCTGACACCTCAATTGTTTCTAACCTTAATAAATACATAAACAAGAAGCAGCCTGAGAATGTTTTCTTCTTTAACGTCGGGACAGAGACGAAATAAACATTCACCAGTTTAACCCACGATGATGGTAAAATAAAAAATATTTACTGTAATACATTCACACGGATAACAATATAATCTTTCCACGTTGTAGAAGAAAATGTGCGTGACTAGGTACAATAGTAGAGGCGGGTTATTTTCGTCTTGATCTATAATACACCACAGTCTCGTCGTTATAGGTAGCTACTAATTTTTCCTGAACGAATCATCGCAGCCGTTATAGCGGCTGAATTGGGTATTCAAAACTTAATATGTATGATGCCTTGAATGTCAGTAAACATATTAGAGTACTACCAAGTGGAGATACCTAATCGTTTCATTTAATAATTTGTATGTATGTCATAATGATGAGTTTTAGTTGTCGTTTCTATTAGTTACCTACTTAATAACGCAACATGAACTGTGCTTTGCAGAAACAATCCAGGAACCTTCATATACTAATATCAATATTTATAGAAACTAACACACACACACACACACACAGAGAGAGAGAGAGAGAGATACACACGCACGCACGCACACTCACTCATAAAAATAACTAATAATAATAAAGGCTTTAATCATGTTTATCTTTTAGGGGGGGCTTAGTAATCTGAGTTACAGGGTTGTCTAGCGCAGATGCCAATCTCCCACAACGGTCTTAAGCTATTACTGTATTAACTTAGTATTAAGTAACCTTTGTGGAAGAGAAAATAAACTTTATCTTACCTTATAGGCAGAGGCGAAGTAAACCCCCCGGTTTGCCGATTAATTTTAGTCTTACTTATGTAACAGAGAGCAAGAGTAAAGCCCTTAACTGGGCACTTTAGAAATTATAGAGGAACTTTGAGTGTTGATTGAAATTAAAAGAATCTAAGAAGGTCAGGTAGAGATAGGAAAGTTATATTGGTTATAGGGATGAATTGGGTAACATAAGTAAACAATAGCTTGAACAGGTGACGGTCGCCTGTAACTCGGATTGGCCATTGCCGTAAACTACGAACTCTCAAATCGATCAACTACTAAAAAATATTTTTAATCATATCGAGCAAAAAAAAATTACGACAATATAATAAAGAAAAAATCTAATAGGTGTTTTTCTAGAATGATTATATACAGAGACATTTTTATTTGGACAACTCCCGCACTAGGAATAATCTCGTGTCGCGGAGGACTTTACAGACATACATGAAACGGACACAATAAACACCCAGACTCCGAATAACGATTTGTGGATCACACACAGTTTGTCCCATGTGGGGATCGAACCCACAACACTCAGTGCACTATGAAGCGGCAGGCGTAGTGGTTTAAGCCGTCAGCTTAAACCATTAAGCTCATCCGTGCAGTAAAATTTTAATAGTTTCATTGAATAGTTATATTCTTTATATTCTATGTTTTAACATAGAATATAACTCTGATTATATTTATCTCTTAAAAAGGATTACGGGAAGACATTTAAATATAATTCAAGATTTATTAGACAGAACGTGATTTGTGTATTCGTATGCAAGGTATGTATGTAATACGTTAAATGCTCGAAATGAAATTTATATTTTCACTTTAAATCAGATCGTAGAAACTATAAAATGGAAAACATTTTGATATCTTATTGTGATGCGACAAGGTATCTGTAATTTCACCCTCACGCTGTATGGCTCGTTGGTCTAGGGGTATGATTCTCGCTTCGGGTGCGAGAGGTCCCGGGTTCAAATCCCGGACGAGCCCGTGATAAGTTATTTTTACTAATCGTTTACATCATATTTGACACTCACGTGCTCACTTTGTCATTTTTTTGTGTAAATGAGTAACTAAAAATATATTTATTAAAGCGCCATCTCTGTTCCAATGTAAACATTGCTACGTAGTTAGCCTATAGCTCTCCTGAACTAAGTTTAAAAAGGGTTCAAGACGTATCTAAATCTATAAACCTAACCTCAACCAACAATTGAATTTACCGTTCTCAAAAAAATAGATGAATTTTGGACACTACGATTACCCAATAAGCTCTATCCACGTCAGATTGTGCCGCAGATAATGCATGATAAATGATAATTTATTATGATACATACATTGATAAAGTATGCTAATAAAATTAATAAGTGTGATATAATACTAAATTTAGGCTATATTATGTGTTTCTATTTCCTATTAGAAAAATAATAATATGAAAAGGTAGATGTTCGGTTAACATTAGCTGTTATTAGAACTATTCGGTCGTATGATGCTGCGGGAATAGTCTATTTTTAAACACCTTTAGGTGTCTTTTATTTTAGTACATTCCAAAAGAAATTATATTTCAACAATCCGTAGCGCAGGATATCCACTAATAACTAAATGTTTTCGCGCTTTTAATTTAAAAATAAATCGAATATCACTTACCAGATCCTAAATCCTCTCTGACTGCAAGAGCGCAGAGTATAGAATGTGCTATATCAAAATATGGGTACATTTTAAGTTTAATGACCTGGTTGGCCAGATCCAAAAAGGCTTCGGGATCCATCGTGTTAGTATTTTAAGTCTTCGCTATTTTATAGTCAATTATTTCCACAACTAAACACCGACAATAGCAAGAAACGAGGACGCGCGTCCGCGACCGACCGCGGGCGAAGTAGCCGCGAGACTGGGAAGCTGAATACGATTGCTCACTTTTGTTTGAAATTGTTTTTTTTTCTATTTTGTGATCAGATTTATTGTCTGCATTTTGTCAATCGCGTTTTAGGCAGACAGGTTTCTGGGTTTTAAACAGCTCATATCAGTCACGCTCTTTTTGTTCCAATTTCAATTGTAAGTGTACATTAAATTTATACGCTTAGATCAAGTTTCCGTAGTGTAGCGGTTATCACGTGTGCTTCACACGCACAAGGTCCCCGGTTCGATCCCGGGCGGAAACAGGTTACATTTTTTTCCAATTTTTGTACTTTTATTGTAAGTACATTTTCGATTTTTATTCCAAATAATTAATTGTTACCCTACTGACTGAATTTACCCTTAAAAAATATGACTTAAAATTTACCAACTTCTTAATAATGGTACATTCTCACTCACAATAACTGATAAGTCAAATTGACAACAAAGTGACTCTTCAGGCAACCAATAAAGAAATAGCTGTGTTAAAAAACATTGAAATAAAAATAGGAGCCATTGGTTTTTATTAAGGTTTTAAAAAGAGAAAAAAAATAGTATAAGGAAATTAATACCTATTCTCAAAAAATAATGAGAATTCATCTAACACTCCAGAAACAAAAGAATAATCACTCATTTCTTCACCACCTTAAAGTACGGGCAGAATGCCTGTAACATTGAGTCCGACATTGTACATTTTTGTGCATAAAGTGTTTATAAATAAATAACAGGGATAAATAAAACCACCAGTATTGTTAAAGATATATTTATAACATTATTTTTATAATTTAAAACTTTATAAAAATACAAAATATATAAGAATTTAATTTAGACAACAAACATATTTCGTAGTAATATTACTCTTTACAATTTTATCAGTCTTTTATATTATATGATCTGTGCACAGCCAAATCTTTGGGAATATGAAATAAATATATTTTTGTTTTTTTTTTATAAAATTCTAATAATTGCTCGTGGCAAGGAACATGAAATGTAGTTATAAATTAAAATAATAACATGACCAATAATATTACACTATTTTAAAAACGAGTATTTAAAACAAACACATTATATAAAGCTAATGTAAAATTATATGTACAAGAAGATAAATAATAATAATTATAATTAATATTTTTTTTCTTAACCGCAATGACTAATAAAATCTCTGAATTTTGTTATTACCACAACATTTAAGAAATATAAATGATAAAAAAACCCTATAGTTGCTGCTGGTTAAAGTATATGACTGTAAGCCATAGTTAATGCTATTAGTTTTTGTTGTAATAAATATGATATGCGCTGTCAAAGGCAGTCATGTAGATCAGTTTTTATTTATTTATTTGATTTAAAATCACTTTAAATTTCGTTCTTTTAAAGACTTGTTTTATTAAGACAATGATAACATTTAGAATTTTTGTACCCTGAGTGTACCGACATACTATACTAACTTTGAAACTTTCGCTTTCCATGATACGTAGTTTTGTTCATATGCGGGAATTAACGCGATCACATAACAGTTAATTCAAAGGTATGTATACCTTTGAATTGCCTGTCCTTTCGACCATTTGCAGTGAACCAGGCAGTATATGAACATTCACGCCAACTTCAAGATTCTTATAAATGTTTTACAGCACAGAATCATCGAACTTATAAACAGAATCCCAAGAAAAAATACTAATTTCTATACTCAAACATAAATTTACAATAAATTATTCACTCTTTGTTTTACTAATGGAGTTGTGTAAACATAAATTTAAGTTTCTATTATTTTCAAAGCTCCTATTCTTTTTACGAAAAAAATGAAATAAAATAACATTTATTCAACATACATCAGTGTGGCCGTAGCCGTTAGCAGAAGGAAGAATTAGAATTATAATCTTCAAATTAAAATTTCTGAAAGGAGGTTAGAACTTAAAAAAATTATAGGTATATTAGGCATTTCTTACAAGATAGTCCTTTGAAGAAAATTGTCACTTTATTTCACATTTTTACAAAAAACAGTTATTGGTTATTTTTAGCTAAATGTTCTATCAGTCCTTGGAAGTAAGCGAAATAGATCAGTATATAGGGATTAGCAAAATAATACAAAGAAGTTCAGCAATACACCAAACTTAGATTAATAATATGTCTAGATGGATAGTCAAAGCTGTGAAAACAGGGGAAAAAATAGCGTCCAACTGTTGGCCTCTAAATGCTTATCCCACGTTTAGTATAAAAAGTATATACTGTCACTGTATTCATATTTATGTTGTTTAGTATGACGATTTGTGTGATAAAAGTGTGTAGAAATTGTGAAGGACGATCAAAATAAAATTAAGTCAACTAACATCGATAAGTACCATTGTTTCGAATATGTTTCAGCAAAATAAGCCTATGAATTATTTCTAAAAAAGATTATTATTATGAACTCAAGTCGAAACTCCCTTAAAATGTGGCATACTATGCATTATATGTTATACTTACTAGTAACTTCGCCTTATTCTGAAGTATACTTAGTAAATCAGTGATATTTCAAAAGTAAAATTTAAATGGACATCATTACAGGGTTTTAATTTTAAAGTAAATACTTTTTAGAGGCGTTGAGTGATTTTTGGCAGGAGTATAATTCATGGATTGACGTTGACTGCAATGGAGTAGTTGTAGCGTATGCGCCTGCTCTGCGGAATCGACTCGGGAATCGAACCCGAGACGGGTTCGATTCCCGAGTCGAACAAAATGTTCGTAACTGCAAATATTTGATTCGGAGTTTGTGTGTTTTCTACGAATAATATGTATGTGCGGATTTACAATAAAAAGTGTATTGGTATTCATTCAGTCAATCTAGCTTTGCTTAGTTTACGATGACGTGTTTGAAAAAAAAACTAATGTCACGTGTTGAGCAAGAAGTTTAGGTACATTTAGTTATTTTCAACCCATATTTATATTATTGTTTTTTCTTGGAGTATATTTTTCTAGATTAAAAATAGATTCAACACGGATATAATTTTTCCCTATTTTAAAGAAAATTTACCACAACTGGTATCATTTATGCACGCCCACTAGGAAATCAGAATGACGTGTGAATGGGTGAGACGCTGCCAGGCACACTAATATTGAAAAGTTGGCTCATTTCTTTTTGTTCTTTTGCAGCGCGATGCTTTATCTTGACATATTAATAATCTTAGACATCAAATTTATGATTTTATGCGTACATATTTCGTGATTGCTGTTATTATAGCGTACACATACGTTTGTTGCTGTTTATTCAGTATGAGATTATAAGTAGCGTAGGTTTACGATACAAAGCAAATATTCCAAAGCTATTAAGCTGCTGTTAAGTAGACTTATAATATTAGAAATAAAATTTTATTTTAGCTTACGCAATTCTCTTTAAACAACAACTTTAGGAAGAAACTGCTTAACATATTAAACTTTCAGAGCTTGATTTCAAATTTCACGGGCACACCAACACTGAGATTATCACATACAGATGTGATAATCTCAGTTCATATTTATTACTACGAAATAAAAAATATATAAAAATTAATTCTTCACATGTGTTACCGCTACGTGAGCTGTAAAATCGGCTCAACATAAAACCAAATATTATCTTACACCTAGATATAGTTCTCACAATAGTGTTTAACAAACGAAGTCTCTAATCCAACACTTTAGGTGGAGAATAAGACGTATCGTTCCATCAATTTTTCTCGAAATAAATTTCACGTTTTCAGGTCTTATTGAGAAGTTTTATACGACCAGTGAGGCCGTTATTCTTAATTATTACATTATCTAGAAAACGTCCAAACTTTCCTTTTATTTTATGTAACATTAAAAAAATAAACTGATTAGAAAAATAATATAAACAACCGACAACTTATAGGTTTTGAAATACGGATTATGTTTTTGTTTTGTAAGTTGTGTCAGATTATAGAAAAGTAATTTTGATTTGTTACGCGACTTTTAGTATTTCAAAATAAAATGTTATTTTGTCTCTATGTTAAATTTATTTGTAGATTGAGCTCAAATTGCAAACCGCTTCATAGATTATTTTTCGTGTCAGTTTTGTTATTCATTTGTCATCAATGCAACTATATTGTGCCACAGATAGTTGTATAATAAGTGAAGTGATTGCATCTAACTCGCAATAATTCACGTTGGTTGATGTTAATAGTAGTTTACACTGTGTATCTATAGCGGCACCGCGATGTATCAAACCTCGATTGTCTACATTTTTAGATAAAGTAATACTTTTGTCTATGAAAAAAAATTATATTAAGAAGCGTAAGAGCAAAAATCTGTTTTGTTACAAAATTGATACAGATATTTATGGCCTATAAAAGAAACGAGAGGAGATTAAGATCTTAGAGAACAAATAATTTAAAAAAGAGATTAAATAAATAACAAACATTACGTTTTGTATGTAATAAATATTAAAGCACAGGATTATTTTTGTTCTGATGGAAGTATTCTTCTTTTTTCTATTTAATGAAATATTTAAATAATTCTATGAGATTCTGATGATAAAAGATGATTATGAGTGAGAATAATATATTTTTCTTCTATCTTTAAAATGTAATTTTTATACTTCATACAAGTTACGAACAAGTTCATACAAGTTACAAGAACGATACAAGTTCTTACCATATAATGGCTATATGCCATTATATGGTAAGAACTTGTATCGTTCATTACCTAACACATTACTTTAAAATATTCTATCTCAACAAGTATAAATGATTTAGTTGGATTGCACCTTCTGTGGTGTAGTATAGTGTAGTTTAAAAAAATATTTGATTAATTATTATTAAATTAAATATTATTAACTCTAATAAATTAGCAACAGCATGTGGTACAGATCCAAGGCAAATGGGCTGATGACGTGGAGAAGTTAGCTAGGATAGACTGGGTGCCGAAGTCAGAGGACCGGATGATATGACGCTCATTACCAAAAGCCTATGTGAGTACTATTTAAAAAATACGTAAAAATAAAAAATAAAACATTACCTAACACACCCTTAATAGACATTCCTTAAAATCGTATTCCAACCCTGGGTACCATTGTTCTTTAGTCCTTTTTTCAATAAACATGGACGTAAATAAGATTATATAACTAAGATGAACTAACTTAGAACTTATGACCAACTGCACAGCAGTAAAATGTAATTCACTGTGCGCGGGTACCTGTAAACAAAGAAAAATTATATCAGAACATATTGAGTTATTAATAATATTATCTGATATATTACAATAACACCCAGATCAAAGCAAAATAGATCTATTCACGCATAAAAAAGTATATATTAGAAGGGAATCCAACGCGCAACTACGGCCACGTCCGCAGAAGTCTTCAAAATGTTGAATGCGTAAATAAAAGTATGAATAAATATATTTTTCGGTTGCGGTGACTCCAGTAGTAGATTTAGGGTGCTTTTCCACCAGAGATGTTGCAAGGTTGTGAAAGCTAAGCTACGAAACTGTGTGACCATGATGCTGTGTAGTGTGGCGAGTAAGATGTACTATGAAGCTACACACACCGCCGCGGGGTAGCTGTACGAAGAAGATGCACAGCTCGAACTATTAACTTTCTGTGTAAACGCAAGTCTACTATAGGTACTCTGATCTGCACATAGCTACACGACTCTCGACCTTCCATTTTCCATATGAAAAACATAGCTTAGTTGAACCCGTTTCCACCAGTACTAAGCAATATGGACTAATATGATTGGTGGATAACAAACGCATCCATAGCATAGCATATCTCTGGTGGAAAAGCATTTATTATTGTTATAAAGTAGAGATGTATGGTTTTATGACAATATAATGAAATCAGTACTGACACGGAAAGTTGTCTTATAGTGACTATTAATATTTCTATTTCTTCTAAGGCTACAGTACCTTCATGAACTACATAGTGGTATTCGCCGACGCACTTTGGTCCACTGACGTCTCTGAAACTCGTCTGCCTTTCTCCTTCGAGGCTCCTGTGTATTACAAACAAAAATCTTTGTTCTATAAATAAAAAAATATTTACTACTAATTTTTAAATCACGGTATAGAATAAGTACAATGCCCATTTTATAATTTAACAACATCTGTATGATTGTATACCATTTTAAACACAAATTTTAAGATTTAGTTTGTTATAGATGTTCCAAGAATATAGCATTAAAAAAAAAACTAATCAAATTTTTGGCAAGACTATATAGTAGCAATTTTATAATTGTCTATAGGTTGTTTTTTTAATCTTAAAGACCAAATTGACATACGCAAATGTCAAGTCTAGAAAATTAAATAATGATATAATATGTTCTTTTGCGCAGTGATGTACCTACGATACCGGCTTGTTAAATCGTATTTTTGTTTTTTTTATTAGACGATTAACTTCGACCAATGTTTAAAGGTTATTTTCTTATTTTTTTAATAAATTAAGAAGATAAAAAAAAACAATAATAAATAATCGTACAAGAATAAACAAGTAATTTTAAGTGCGTGTTTTATTGATATGTCCTCCGAAAGTAGTAACTCTGTATTAGCGCCGACATATACTAAGAGTTGTAGAATGATGAAACCTAAATATTTTGCCTTTCCTGTAATTAATTAAGTAATTATAAATATTTGTTTCCTAATATATATAAATATTTATACCCGAGTGGATTCACAATAACAGCATTAAGAATTATTTCTTATAATAAACAAGTAGATGGTATAACACTATCGCATTGGGCTAAATCTGCAATGATAGTTGTTTTTAATGGCAATAAATAAATAAAAACTTATTAAATTTGTATTATTGCATTTTAAATAAGAACCTGCACATTTTTTTCAGGATAATTTAATATAAAAAACGATATATTGATTATATTAACGTCAATTTCCGATAGAATTGCAAAAAAGTAGCAACCCACGTTATGTCAGTTTAGAAGACTATAGCGCAAAAACCAGAAAATAATAAATAAAAAAATATACATTTAAGCCATTTGATATTGACAGTACCTAATTGTAATAATTAGCAGAATACTCTGACATGCAACATACAACATAGAAGAATTAATAACAAAATAATTTAACGCAAATGATTTTCTTGATCACCTAAATTAAATTTTATGTCTGCTCGTTTCCCCCTTTATTATAAAAAAAAAACCAACAAAATTACCATTCGTTTAAACCGGGAAAATACATTTGTCATTGAAAATGCGATTTGACGTTGTTTTCATATCAATTAATAAATATTTTAATGAAATTTTAACAACTAAACACTGATTTATGAATTAATGTAATGTATGTGACTGACATACAGTTTATAATTAAGTTAAAGAACATTTAAATAAAAATATTTTACTGTAAATGAGTCACAAAAACGAAATTGGATGCAACTATTGACATTATGTATTGTGTTAAGAAATAAAAAAAAATGTAAGTATATGTTAATTTTTTCTGACTCCTGGCTTTTATGGGCGGCGATAGTCATTTTCCATCAGGTGACCCGTCTGCTCGTTTGCCCCCTCTATCATTAAAAAACCTGAAGTGCTAAAATGTATCCATATAAAACAAGAACATGTGACATTTTGTCTGTAAATTTTTTATGTAGTGTCACTGTTTTAATGCATTTTGCAATACTTCATTAGATTTTGACTTAAAGTGTTGCAGGCAGAAGATAGATCCCCAGAACCAATCAATTTGATTGTCTTAACCAACACAAAACGTTTTACAATATTTCACTGCACTTAATACACGTACCTACCGTGCTAACTATATACGCAAGGTGTTTAAGCCTAATACTTTTATGGTATGTAAACAAATGATACTTCGATCTTATGAGTAATGATTTGCTTTGAATAATGCTTCAAATAATGACATGAAACAAGCTGAGAGCTTTTCATACAAACGTTTAGAATACCTTTCTTTTTGCTGGGCACACTCTTAACTGTTCGCCCATTCGCTGAAAAACAAAAAAAAAACACAAATAAATAAAACGTACCGTTACTAATCGCATGCTTGTGTATAGAAAATTTCTTTTTCATTTGAATAGACCAAATCTTTAATTTCGTACCGATTTTCTGTTCATTATTTGGCGTTCGGGGTATCTTTGAAGGTGTAGCCTCTTGTGATCTCTTTGGTTCCTCTACTGGTTTATCCTCTGGCGGTGGAGAATTCTCTTCCTCGGTCGGAGAACTAGGTATCTCTGGTGTTGAGCTGGCCACGGCTGTCATATCAGCATACTGATCATTTGAATTATTTTCCTCTTCGTTTTGTTTATTGGAGCCATTGTAAAATACTGTGTCCTGATCCGAATCTATTGTGACATCCGAGCGATCGCTTTTTGGACTGGTTGCGTTGGTTAGCTGTAATGAAAATAGGTTATAATTATTTTAAGCACGTAGTTTTTATGACGATGTAAATGCAAGTTAGGATGTTAGATTTATAGTTTTAATAAATAGTTAGTGCACATTATTCATACAATATATCAACATGCAATTAATTCACACCCTATTTCTCAAAGGTTAATTGTTTTTTTCAATGGTAGCTAGATCGCAAAGCAGAAACATCAGAGCACTCTCAGAATTCTAATATATGGATGGTAGCGCTTTTATGTACGTTCACAAGGAAACTCGGGGCTAAAAGTTTGATGATGAGAGTTATCAACCGAACGCTGTTGTTCTACTCCGAAGACTTTAGCACGCCCTTAGATAGAAAAACCTTAAACACTTTGTGTAAGCTAAGATAAGCACTAAATATTTTGGAAATGTCACCCCTAAGGGGGTAAAATAAGGGATAAACGGTTGTATAGAAGTTCGTCATTTGTTCACGTGTTAACGTTAGAAACACGAAATAACAAATAATCATACGAGCGAAGCCGTGGGCAATAATATGAATCTTGTCGCACCTGAGAAGGTCAACTTCTCAAGTGCTTGTATGTACCGTACAGTAACAACAACAGTTTGAATGTAAACTATATTGTATGTATACGAGGAGCCTTAAAACAATGTAAGGCTTGCCTTATTGACAAAAAAAATACGCCATTAAGCAGTTCTTTCATTGCTTTTCACGGAGTGAGTGAGGTAACCGGAGCCCAAAACGTCCCTCTTCCCCTGATTTTAGGGGAAGGGACTTACAAGGGTAATTCACTTATGACTCTTGAGTTGCAGGTGTCCATGGGCGGCGGTAGCCACTTACCATCAGGTGACTAGATTATCCGTTTGCATAAAAAAGCATATACCATAAAAAAGCATATCCCATAAAAAAGTATATACCATAAAAAAGCATATACCATAAAAAAGCAAGGTGAGCACGAGACAACATAAGACTATAACTTTAGTTAGTTTAGTTCTACAGTTTTATTCACTACATTCTTGACCACGCAAGCGAAGTCGCGATTAAGAGCTAACAATATATAAAATCTTACAGTAAAGCTGGAGTCTTCATCAGAGTCAGCGTCGAGGTCAACCATCATCTTCTCAATGAGGCGTTCCATGGTCGTTTCGTTGGTGCTGGCCACAGCGGCGGGCTCTTCGCGCACACGCTTGCTGCGTTTCACCACCTAACACATAACCTATAAATTAGTTTAACAACCATGGATGGATTCAAAGTACACACTGCGGACAACTGACGTGTAAAAAGTGAATATTTAATGAAAGTAAAAAAAAAATATATTTCCTTTTTTGGATTTTTTACATCTCTAGGCTGTTAAAGGTAATAAAATACAATAATTCCCTATTATGTTTCATAATAAAAGTGATAATATCCGTTAAGTTAGATAGGAAAAAAGACGTGCCCATAAAAATTTAATTGAATTAGCGCGCCCTCTAGGGAATAGAATGGAAACACCGTGGTTCCTACACACGAGGGGGTCATCTACAAGCCGTGGCCCGGGGTCCGTCGGGGTACCAGGGATTTCCTTCCTAGGGTACTGCTATCCTAGACGGCAGCGTGCGGTTTTTGGTCGATCGAGTTCGACATAACCACCGGATTTCCGCACAGAACAAAAAAAAGATTAATCGAGGCGGGTAAAAGCCTATTTATCTTTATATAAATGTGCGAAGAAAAGTTTTTGTAATCCTTTAGCAACAAATATGGCTGACGGGAGCATCTCATATTTGGAATACTTAATGTATGCACGTGCAAGAAGTACAGAAAACTAAAAAATTTAAACTTAATTGTTAAAAATGTCCAGTAGATATATTGATCAGTCATGGTACAAAAGTTTATAAAGTTACTGTTTAAGTTATACTGGTCAATACATAAATCAAGAACTTGAACCGTCAAAAATTTGACCGACAGGCTATCACTAGTTCTTTTTAAATAGACAAAGCCAAAAATAGTTAAATATAATTTTCTTCAATATTTATTAAATCGGTAAAAACAAGTTTGAAATTGGACAGTCAGGAGATTTGTAATATAAAACTATCCCTCATTTTACGAACTCACCAGCACTTCATCATTGTTGCTAACCCTGGTGGTATTATTATTGCCGTAGTGCGACGATTGGCGGCGGAAGCACATGGTGAATTCAAACAGTGAATGCAAGGCGTTTGACCAAGACTCTCTGGGCTGGGCGCTGCTGGTCCGCGCCCGCATTATTCGGTTACCTTGGTACTTAAGGGTGCGGAGGTACCGCCGCTTGCTTTGGATGTACATCACCTGGTAAAATAATGCAATTCATAAAGATATTATAGTTATGTATTGACTTCACCAGAGTTTAACTTTAACCAGGAACTTGTATATGTTTGGCCTTGAAACAGTTTGATTACCCATTCAAATAGTAAATTCCTTCATAATTTAGTTGTTCATTATATCTTTATATATATTATTCTTTAGTGCGTGTGTATGTGACTGAACTCCTCCTACACGACAGGACAGATTTTGATGTATTTTTGTGTGAGTAAGGCACAAAACGGGTGAAAACGAGCACAATTTATTCCTTATGAGAGAAGCAGACGAAGTTGCGCGGGTGAGCTAGTATAGTATATATAAACTATTAGGGTATCTGGTATATACCAGATAATTAGAATAATCAACAGAAACATCTGTTACCACATCGGCTGATCTCAGAGGTGGTTTCCCCATCACAAGGTTGAGCAGCGATATCGACTCCCTTGCGATGCGAAGCGACACTATCATGGCCAGGAAAAAAATCCATGGTAGAGGTCGCACCAGCTCAGGCTGAGGGCGTTCATCTTGATCCACTGAAAGGAAGTTTACAGACTATAGCTGATAATAATGTTTAAAACATACTACGGTACAATGTAACATCATCATATCTGTGCCGCTGTGTGAAAGCTCTTTCTCATAATTCAAACTCTATAAGACGAATTCCACGCGTTGATGAGTCATCATAAGTGGATTAGTGTAAGAGAACTGATACGGAGTGTTCGTTGTACTTATAATAAACTTGCAAATATGTGTAAATTTAGCAATAGGTCCAAATTTTGTCAACCCTATAATGAAACTTCTGACACAATACAAAATGTACAAAATGTTATCATATAACTTGTATAAATATTGTGTTAATGAAATAGTGTAGAGTACTGGGCTGTAAAGTTTCTTAGATTCTTACTGCCTCGATTGTTTTTTTTTTCTTCATTCATACGCTTTGGATTGTATCACTTCCAAAGAACGCGTAAGGTCAATAAATTATTTTATAAACAGGAAGTAATGTCCTTGCTTGATTGTTGGTCCTTGAATATTTAACTTGGTATGTAAGCATAGTTGAAAAAGCCTCTAATTTAATAATAACAAAGTAACGTATAACCAATATGTAATTTCCACTTACGTGGAGGCGGTACTGCCCACTTGGCACACTTCTCGACCACCCAGAGTGTGCGATCCAAGTACCTCAGCCCCGTTTGGCCGAGTCGGTAGCTGGCTGCATGTTCGGCCACGTTTTGAAACAGCTCCTTTGCCAGAGCTACTAGCTCCATATCTGTGATAGATACAAACCGTTTAACATCATGTTAAATGGCGGATGGCGTAGTGGTTCAAGCGGTCACCTCGCCGATTCATACTGTGCTGTGTGTGTGGGTTCGTTCCCCACCGTTCTGAGTTTGGGTTTTCTTTGTGTCCCTTTCATGAATGTCTGTGAAGTCCCCCGTGACACAGGATATAATTCCTAATGCGGGAGGGTAATAAAAAAGTAGTGCCGGAACATCTCCGTCTTATAAAGAAAAGCAGTTAAAATGTACCATTTTAGTCTTGTAATTTTGCAAGTTCCTACCACGTTTAATAGTATGTACACTAATGTACAGGTAACCGCGGTATTATATTTATAATGAGGTTAAAGAATACAAGTTGATACAGACTTGTCACAATTTTATCATTGCATAATACACTTGATTATTTTGATTAATATATCTAATACTGGCCAGATATTCGCATTGCTTTTGAATAAAGAACTTTCGAGGAAACTTTAAGATTCTTCTATAGCAATAATTTCAATTAATTAAAAACTATAAAAAGCTACGCTGAGAATTGTAAGTACATTTTGTGGTGGCAAGCTGAAAGTCCGACATCTCTTACCAAAGGTAATTTCAACCAATAACGCTTAATTTTTTTTTTTAATTGTTTTGTCTCACTCACATACTGACATAGATGCCCCTAATGAATACCTCTAGATTTACGCATGTATTATTGTGTAATTTTAAGATAAAGACTATTTTTATGACTACACTGTTATTTAAGGTCATTTACGTAAATAAAGTTATGTAGATAAACATTCGGTCCGTGGTCCGTGTGGTGACGGACTAACAATACGGAGTGTTACCACCCCTATTTCTCCCGTGGGTGTCATAAGAGCTGACTAAGGAAACAAACTACGTAGGACAGCAGTACAGCTGCAAAGAGAAGGAAAACTTGAAACAAAGCTATACCGACCCGTCTGGCCAACGTGGTGTAGCAGTGGGCTATTAAAGGCTGTTGATAACGATGATCATCATGATGAGATAAACATTCTTCCATCTTGCAACCTTATAGATAAATAATCTTACTATATTTTACTTTTCTTAATGACCTATAAGAACTTTATTTTATTTACTATTTTGTTATAAATACCGCCTATCATCGACGAATTTTACCTGCTATTAGGGGTACTGCTCCACTCCTAAGGACCATAGTGTAATGTTACATAACTTGTATATGCCCTCTTCAATGAAAACATAATCTAATATAAACAAAAACTGAAAAGAAAAAAAACTCGTTGTCACTTCTATAGATTAGTGCGTTTAAACAATCAATAATAGACTAAAACCTTTTTAGTCTAGTATATTAATATAAGTACCTACATAAATTTATAGAATTTTGAATTTAAATGAATTAATTTTGCAACTTCATATGGTAACAACTTTTGTTTTACTTTCATTCTATATAAATGTACTAGCTGAAACGGCAAACGTTGTTTTGCCATATACATTATTTCTAGGAAATATTGAAAAAAAAAGTTTAGGGGTATGAAAAATAGATGTTGGCCGATTCTCAGACCTACCCGATGTGTACACAAAATTTCATAAAAATCGGTCCAGCCGTTTTGGAGGAGTATGGTAACTAACATTGTGACACGAGATTTTATATATAAGATTAAGTGGGACCCACCCACCCTTATACAAACAAACTAATATACCATTTTTTCACATAGCATGCATTATGGTATGAGTTCAATGACACTTGATTTCAACTATTTCTCGTAGTTTGTTAGTTCTTTATCAGTAACTGGTGATAATATGTAAGAAAAAACGAAGATTGTTCTTGATTAGGTACTATTACAACACAACGTGTTTGACCGAATGACAAATGCGTTGGATAATTCAAGAACACTCTCTCTCGAATCATTCGGTAAAATATATGAGTCAGTAGATTTTTTTTACGGAATATAATAAGCTTTTGACTTTAAATATGAAATAACAGTAGCAACGGTATCTGATTTGGATATTTTTGATGTACCTAGACGTTATCTGTAATCATGTTTACAACTATTTTTTTGCTGCCGTGACTTGTCGATTGACCTCGCATACTTGTTAGAAAAATATATTAAAATCTGTTTTGTTTTTGTGCAAATCGAGTGTTCAATGGATATTTTTCTTTACTCACAGAACTCTTGCATGAGAATAATCATTTTTCAAAAGATAACATCCCCACTTTAAAGGTACCTACTAGAGGTACCCTAAAATACATATTTTTCAGGATTTTATTTTACCACTTTGTCAGCGTGATTATTATGTATGTTCATGCGAAATTACAGGTTTCTATCACTTATAGTCTGTTAGATATAGTGTGAGGACAGAGGGACGGACAGACATGACAAATCTATATGGGTTCCGTTTTTGCCATTTTGTCTACGGAACCTTAAAAAGAACAATGTGGTTACTCTTTTTTCCTTCTCATAATATCTTTACTTGTCATATGTAAATGCGCTAATCTGACTCATTGACAGGAAACCAAAAAATTATTATTGGTAACGAATGGTCTGATATTAAAGCCTAGAAGATTTTTTTTGCTTTTTATTTTTTTATTCTGATTGTAGGTATAGTGTGAATCGTGTATTTTTTTATTATGCTCAAGTTTGTTTTTCAGCAGCTATTGACAAACTCACAAATTTCACAGCTGTGATCGGTAGAGTTAACTAAAATAAATATTACAACGTCACCGGACATTAGCTAGGTAGTAATATATAGGTGATGAAAGCATCACAAGTCTATAGATCTTTATATCCGCATTGAGGTGTAAACAAGAAATAAACATGTAGATACGCTTATTCGTGTACAGAAGTAATGCATTCCAGAGTCCAATGTAATTAAATTCCGTCTTTGGAACAGTGTATGTAATAATTTAACTTTTATTAGTTTCATTATTTTAGATAACACAAGTTACAAAATCTTGGGAGAAATGTAAAATGTTTATTATATGCAATTATTTGTTCATAAAATATAAGTTGAACACACAAAAAAATGTTATAGTACATAAAAAAAGAGATAAGTACTAGGTGAAAAGCAGTTTTTTTTTAAATAATAAGATCGTATTTTAGGTCTATTTTATAGTAATGTATGAAAATACATTACTATAAGAAGAAATGCAATATTATACTAACGAGTTTAAATTGGATTATAACAAGCAATATGAAGCAGTGATCTGAATTATATTAAAATCAGGCACAAAACTGGCTTTATCGGTAAAAATATCGACATGAGCAGGTAACTCTGCTATCTGTGCATTACATTAGTTTAATTTTATTTAATCTGTATGAAACAATACCTGTACAATTTCCGTTAAACGAACAACAGTAGAACACGTAACACTGAACATTCACTGTGTGATGTATGTTAAAAAAAAATCTCGTAATGAACTGTTATCTTTTTAATTTTTATTGATGCACATTGGTATTGAGTGCAGGAGCCTGAGCAAATACATCATTCTGTCTTCTTTATACCTTATAGATAATAAACGGCGCAGAGCAGAGGTCACTGCAATCATAGACAGATACCGTGAGGCCAGTGAGACAAATATCCAATATAGCTAATTACTGGTGACTATCAATGGGTTTGACTGCCTTAGTTTACTTATAAACAATTTACCAATTCAACTCAAACTGTTGCAGGCTGAGTTTTATTGCGCTCAATTGACAAATAATAGAACACCACTTGACGTTTGATAACAACACAAAAAGAATACATAAGATCGAGAAATCCGATTATGAATACATTGCTACTTTCCAAGAACCATAGAAACCAATATAACTACCACAATATATTATATTAATGTAAATTGCTTTTTGATTTTTTCACTATGCTGTATAAAGTGGTTGCCCTTACGACTTTTTGTTTAATTGTCGGTAAAAAATAATGAAAGGATTGCATTACCGCGTTACAGAATTGAATATAATAATTATAATTCTTTATTCAGACAGAAAAAAAGGTTTACAATAAATAGTTGACTCATATTCCTGACCCTTGTTAGTTTGCAACCCCGATAACTTAGTCTGTTTGGAAAAAAAAACAATTGAACCACTATTTAATGTTTCAGAAGTAGGTGTAAGTTATCAACAGTCAATCTCGCTAAATAGGCTAGCTGTCTCTTCAAACGTAGATCCTACCTACACAAAGAGGCAAGAAAAAAAATGCACTTAAAAAAATCCGATTATAATTTTATCAACATGGTTTTACAAGTTACTTGTTATATTGCATCAAAGCGTAAGTAACATTAAAATGTAAATGTATTTAGATTAACCACTTGATAGCTGAACACTACACATTTGCACTATCACCAAAATTATCTTGAAAACTACGTGAACAAACTGACCTAAGTAAGTATATGAAACTATGTGATATATAGATTTACATTTTTACATCACAACGATATTTAATTCATAATTTGTGCAGCACACGTACTATTAGATCGATAGATATCAGAATGTATGTTGAGCATGTACCTATAGATATTTTTGGTACTCTTATGTATTGACATGAATACCAGAGGAGTATAAATATATGTATTAATATTATTATTTACAAGCTTTTTTTACAAAAAAAAACTATCGGAATTCAGCTTTTACAAGTAATATGGCTCAGTCTCTCTTTCTATAAGTCTTTATTAAGTCTAAGGTTAGCAAGTATTTTGAGTTAATTCGCTTAAAACACGTATCATTTCCGTGGCTTCTAAAAGGATAACGGACCTTCGTACAATATTTATTAGTTTATTGCTCAAACAGACCAACCGCGTACTATTGGCAAAAAAAGATACACACCTAATAAATACTGTTACAAGGAAACTTTTTTTTTTAATTAAACAAACATTTATTACTGTCGGAGGTTATAATTAATGTGTGTTACTACATTAATACTATTGTATTTCCTCCTTTCCTTTTCCTCCTTTATAAATATATGGAGCTCATTAAAAATGATCTCCATTGGCTTTAGTACAGTCTTTTAAACATTAT